AAAGAAAGAAAGAAAGAAAGAAAAAACAAACAAAACAAAAACAAAGAAGAGAAAAGAAAAGAAATGAAATGAAAAGAAAAGAAAGAAAAGAGCCATTTTTAACTATTGTATACGTAACTCAGGAGAAAGAGCTTGAAGTCCTTAATTACCGTAATGTTATGTATAGTGTCAGTAACTGCACCATAGACATCTTTTACTCGTGCTATCAACTGCACTTTATAGTCGTTCTCTTTTTTGCCAGCTTCCAGTATGACCTTCAAATCAAAGAAATCATGAGGAAATAACATAGACTTTGAAGGAGTTCGGTGATGATTGAAAATTTGATTATATCATAATTTATTCCTTAATTTATTCAGTGAACTAAAACAATTATGGAGAATATATATTTTTAAAGTGATAGTATCGATTGTCTTGACTCGAAACCAAGTTGCAAACATTATTGACGGAAATCAAATCGGGTGAATTGAATCCAAGGGTCTTTCTCCCGGAATAACCTCCTTCTAATTAAGCACTATTCCTTTTCTTTATTTCTACATCATGTTTATCATGGTGTCATGCGGTCCTTATGTTCATATCTCTTTAAGTCCTCTAGCATAGAAATTCAGCATTGATGATTATCATAGTGCCATTATGGTCATAGCTACTCTCATCGTGCATTACCTTACAGTCGCGTAGTTCTGGTCCATACCAAAGCAGTAACTGGTTATCGTTTTTCTTRATCAATACTTCATAYGAAAGAGGGGTATCATCTTCTTTCCAGTTCTCGCAGGATACATGAAGGGTTTTAAGTTCTTCGATTTCATTCTTTTCAAATTTACAATTTCCATCTCTTGGTGGAGAGTTTGTTTGGAACTTTAGCTTCGCAAAGCCGCTCGATCCTTGAAAAATCACATAAAAATCAATAAAATCTGGCAATCAATCTAAACCATACATAGTGGTGGGAACTAGCRGTAATCTAGTGCGAGCTGCGTCGGTGTTTCTAAAGAAAGAGTTGTGTAAAAAGATAAAAAMMMCSKWAAAAAGTAGGTGAAACAACTTACTATAATACATTTTGGGCGTTGATCCTTCGTCGGAGTAAAGAGCTCTTTACTCCGACGCATGATTAACGTTCCTGCAGCTTGTTGCGATGTGTTGATAAATTAATCGACTTAATTTGACCAACTTGATCACCATAATATGTCTGAATTAAATTTGTTTTATGCTTAGTCGAAGAAAAAAMACAAAATCCAGCAAACAAACTTTACAAGTTCTAGGTGCAGTTGCCGATACAAAATTTTTCGCTGTAAATTTCCAAAATTAAAATAAATAAATAAATTGTTTGTGGCTATGAAAAAAACAAAACAAAAACAAAAACAAAAACAAGAACGAACAGACTAATCCCGCGCTACAGTATAACCGATCAAAACAAATGTATTTTTTGAAAACTAGTCATTCTTCTTTAGAGAAATAGAATTGATACATGAAAATAGTACACAGAAATAGAACGATACCATAAAAGCTGATAACAAAAAGATGGGTGTTGCGGCACCGGGAGTAAGAATTTCGGAAATGATGTATGTAATGATTAAACCCGATTATGGAACAAACCTCCTTTTCGTTTTGCTTGAACTTTCAGCATGTACTCTTTATCTTGAAGAAAAATATTCTTCTTTACAACAACATATTGCAAGGTTCGGCTTGTTAGCGTATATGACGGCCACAGTTCCAACTTCTCGTTGCTCGTCACGTTCTCAGCACTCCACAGGAACTCCAGCTCCGTAGAATTGCCAATACAGTCTGTGCAGTAAGCCTCCAAAGTCAACTGTTCATCTGAGGTGATTTTCTTAGCGCAGTTGTGTAAGCATCTACAAATTCAAATATCAAAACGCATTTGCAATGTGCATTTTCTTGGCTTCTCGTGTCGTACAGTGCAAATTCGTTTAGAAATTGTGCGTGCGGTGTGTGCAATTCACGATGATTGCACGAGCGCATTTATCATCATGGAAATCACACACGCTGAAAAACAAGAACATATTTTATTACCTAATATTGATATCCGGCGGTTTTCCCTCGACAATTTTAATTTCTTGTGTAAATTGTCCTGCGCGCTTTTCATCATCTTTTGGCGTGACCGTCACGGTAAATGAGTACGTGACAGACTCGAAAAGGCTTCGATTACGGATGGTAAAAACTGGTTCTTCACTTTCKACTATATTGTTTCCATTTCCAAAGCAGCCTCCTTTTCCGAAGATGAACTCGTTCTTGGTCTCTTTACCCAAGGCACATCGCCATTCAAAGGTAAGATTCTTGTTCAAGGGGTCATACGATCCAGACGCGTCAAGAATGACATCTACCTCCCATCCACGTGACCGTGCACTACCTCCTTTTATAATGGCCTCTACATTGGGAGTCATGACCTGTATGTAACGCTGTGCAGAATTGGTTATTCCTATTGTTGACAACGTCACTGTAAGCCGGAGTAAGTAGAACCCAGGCTCTAGCATTGAAATTGTAATGGTCGACGTGTTTAACATGACATCACTAAGAAGGCTGTTGAATGGCAAGATAAACAGAATTTAGAAACACAATTACTTTAACAAGAAAAATATCACGGTATAATTTGATAATAAGTTAAGTCATGACAACAGAACACAACATAACACAACAGAATATAACAAAACAATAGAATAGGACATAACACAACATAACACAACGCAACTCGACACAACGGAACAGAATAGAACACAACACAACACAACACCTCACAACACAACATAACACAACGTAGCAGAACATAACACAACAGAACAGAATATAACACAACGTAACGCAACGGAACTCAACACAACGGAACAGAATAGAACACAACACAACACAACACCTCACAACACAACATAACACAACGTAGCAGAACATAACACAACAGAACACAACGCAACATAACGCAACGCAACTCAACACAACGGAACAGAATAGAACACAAAACAAGGGAACACAACACAACTCAACACAACGGAACAAAAGGAAACACAAGAAAACAGAACAGAACACAAAAAATCAGCAACATTCAACACAAGCAAAATGAACAAAACAAAAAACAGAAACAAAGTGAATTTTCCATTTGTCAGAACTGGCTGGCCAGACCCAGAGAAAATGTCATTATATATCATTCCCATTTAGTTAGGAAATTCAAATTTTCAAATTCTATCCATTATTCTACAGAAAACCTCGAAATGACTGAAAAATGTTGACAAAAAGCATTATATACCTCTAAATAGAGTTGACTGGCCGGCCAGTTCTGCCTAAATGGAAAGCACCCAAAGACTATTTACTGCTCAAATTCTAACTTACTTGTTGATCTTCCTGCCTTCTTCTGGCGGCCCGGAAGCATTTTTAAAGTAAAACTCGTCAGCTTTAAAAACATCCCATTCAAACTTCGCCTGTATTGTTTTCCCATCTTCTCCACTACAAGAAATATTGGTTCTTGAATCGATCCTAAATTCACGTCCGTACTTGATCTTAGAAGCTTTTTCTAACGTGTCTCCTCCTCCGTACAGTATAATACCAGGAACCGCGCAATTTTTTTCAGTAATGACCACGTGCGTTTTCGCGGTTTTCTGAGATACTTCATTCCACGCATAAGCACGTGTTTCATACACGCCCTTCTCATTGTAAGTATGATAAGTTACCGCTGAGTAATAAGTACTTGGAATAAAAGGTAGTTTGACCTCAGTACTTATATATTGCTTCATTTCATTTTGTCCATTACCTTTCGAGGTAAAGTTCAGCGTTATGTTATGATTATCGCCGGTATCAAGCACAAAGTTGGAATTATTTCCAATTTGCGCACAGAAAACAATAAAAGTTACTCTATCTCCTGGCTTTGACGGACTACTTGAAACAACGTAAAGCCCAACAATTGACCATCTAATACCGATATCCAAAGACGTAGTTGCAACACCGCGCTTATTCGATGCACTAACTTGGATTTTATAGTTGCCAGGTAACGCATAGCGATGATCAGTTGCTAAGGAATCGCTTGGAACTGTTTCGTTATCTCCAAAGGACCACTCGTAGCTCACACATGTTCCTTTACTATGACCAGCACGAAAGCTCACGGGATATTCCTTAGGAAAGAAGTTTCCATTTTTTCCAAAGCCAGGCATTCGAGGAGATGGGCTTTGAACAGACTGAACAGCTTGTAATGTAAGGTTTTCTATCTTCTCTTCGATCTTTACTTGTATTGTAAACTTTGCGTCACTTGCTTGATTGAAGATCCTTAGTTTCGCGGTGTAGCATCCGGGTTCTTTGTACTCRTAATTATATGTGAAATCCAATTGAGACGAATTTAGCGGAAGCGTTGGACTTTTAGCTGATCCATCGCCAAATTCAAACTCAAAGTTAGCATTTGTTGGAGCAGCCGTGTTATTGTTGCGGGAGAACTGAAACTGAACGTTTTTCACAGGCCACTCCTTTTTAAGCAGTAGAACAGCCTGGAATCCAGTCACGGGGTTGATAATAGTAACCGTCGCAGATGCAGTTGCATTTGAACTAAAACAATTCCAAACCACCACAGTGATGTTGTACACACCAGGCGATTTGAAAGTTCGCATTGAACGAATRAATCGGTCACTGGGTGATTTACTACGTTGAATCTCTGCACCATTCCCTTCTCCATACATCCAGACCGAGGTAGCACGGGTACCAGCTTTCATGTCCAAAAACATCATTGCAGGATAACCACTTCGTACATGAGGATTTACATTGAGTCGAACTTCAGCAATTTTCTCAACAAGGAAAATATCTACTGAAAGACTCAACGTTGGCGTTACAGAATTTTGGATTTCAATGCGCAAAGTATACATTCCAGGAAYCTCCACGTATCCAGGAAGAATACTGATACTTTTGCAGTTCTCAATTCTAGTTATGGTCTTGACGATGTCTTCCTTCGATAGAATGTATGCAGTACATCGGACATGAGAGCCTCGAGTCCACGACCATTTAAACTCGTGTGGTTCTCCAAACCGAATCTCTTTAGATTGGTAGTCTTCTTCAAATTGCAGTCCTTCGATGGTTTSTTCTACTGTCGTTGTAACGCTGGCAGTTCGAGAACTGAGTTTGTTCTCGCATTTCACGTTGATGACATAACTACCTGCCTTAGTATATGTATGCTTAAATGGATTCTTTAAATCATCGTATTTTATTTTTAAGTTTTTCTTCAAGTCCTCTCCTGACACTTCGCAATCGTAGTTTGTCCCACCTTCGCTAATTATATATATATGACTTTCTTCGCCAAACCTGGTTGCTTTTGCAATCACTTGAAGCCCTTCGATTGCTTGGACGTCATCAGATATCACTTGGACAGATTCAGCTATGGACCTACTACTGATTGGGTTGCTTCCAGTTATATTCACTGTGTACCTACCGGGGTAACGGTACTTGTAGCTGACTTTGCTRCTGTCCGATTTCACAGGGCCGAGACCGTCACCAAAGTCAAAGGTGAATTTCACATGGCTACCTTTATCTTTGGTGACTTCAACAGTGATTGGATGAAACACATTCACTTGCTTAGGTTCGAGGCTKACTAATCTTAGGTTTTGTATGGCTTCCTCAATTTGCAGATTTACTTKAGTCTGGCTTTGTCCAAGGTGGTTTCTGGCAGTTACAATCACAATAAAGGTCTTTACCGTCTTACAGGATTGACTAATACTGAATRTTTTCCCAACGGGATGCGACGTTCCATTGATTTGATTGACAGGCCCGTCATTGAAATCTACGAGAAAGGTCACGTCACTTCCTTTTGAAATATTCCAATACAGTGTTATGGGTTCGTTAACCGCAGCAACCAGTTTCGAAGGCCAGGCCATCATTCCCTCAATCTTTGTCTGAACGGCTATTGTCTTCGACACAGAAACATTGCTTACTTGGTTAAACGCCCAAACATACACAGCAAATTCTCTCTGACTGTTGAATGATTTTTTGACGTAAGAGTTTTTGGTAGTGATATCAGGAGTGCCGTCATCAAAGCGGATTCGGTAAGCAACATTACTCCCTTTATTTTGAAAGTTCAAGATGAATTCTTCGTTCAAGGAAACGCCTTTCGGAGCCTCAACGTCAAAGTCTTCAATTTGGAGTTGCGAGACGATAGTTAAAGAAGTGCTTTGATTGCTGATCAAATTATACGCGTTAACAATAATTCCGATTTCTTTTTCTTTGTAAAAAGTCTGTCTCCTAAGAACGACGGATTGGCCTGATTTTTGAAGATCTCCTTTGTCTTTGTACTTATTCTCTTCGATGGTCCAGTCAAAGAAGACATCAGTACCTTGGTCAGCCTGACATCGTATCGCTTTTGTTACTCCAATAGCGACGTATGGTCTTTCTAAGTACATACCGTCGTGGTCTACAGTAATGCTAATGTTTTTGATGACATCTTGGACGATAAGACTATAAAATACAATTTCYTTTCCCAAAGAGTTATTGGCCGTTAATATGACCTGCCATTTCCCGGCAGTGAAAGTCCTATTGTATTCCCACTGCGGGCCATCAAAACTCCTGATAARATTACGATCACCAAAGTCGATGTCATATCTGATATTCGTACCATTCTTCTTCGATATTTCAAAACGYACCGTTGAGTTTGATGGAGCGGGGTTGGGGTAAGCCTTAATGGACACATTTTGGATCTTTTCATCAACAAAGAAAGTTTTGTAACAGCTAATCGAGGATATAGCGTTCGATATCTTAAGAGTTATGTTATAACCACCATGCTTTTTAAACWGGTAACTGAAATATCGATCAGGGCAGATAGCAAGCATAGCAAATGTGCTTCCTTGCAACGCCCAGTCAAACGTCAGGTTGTTTCCAGTACTGTATTGTGCAAYRAACGTTTTATTATCTCCAAGTCTAACGCCATCCAAAGGTAGAAGACAATCCCCCGTTACTGGTTCAAGGATGAAAATGGTTCGCGTAGAAATGATCGGAGCTTCGTTTTGAATTCTACAGCTAACATTAAAGTGACCACCTTTTGTATAAGTGTGTTGTACTGACTTGAAATTAATTCCATTCTTAGTAGACCCGTCGCCAAAACTCCACATGTAGTACTGAGAAGCGTTGAATGCTCCMTTTAGTTCGCTGCTGAATGTAATGGCTTTGTTAGTTGCGTTCCAGGCTGGKGACGTAATCCGAAGCGGGTTCATAACTCTAACAGTGAACGACACATTACTGATAAAAGCAAGATTGGTCGCAATTAAARTCACCTYATTCCARCCTTCCTGTTTAAAGTTATACGTGGTTGTGTTGCTCTCAAGAAAGCCAATTTCATCATTTCCAATGAGCCATTTATATCGCAGGTAGGAACTCGCCGATGYAGCCACTAAACCAGTTTCAACTCCCATGTAAACAGGTTGTTCCGGTTGGGATAGATTAGCGTTCAACCCACTAATGTCCCCAGGAAGAAGTACGTTGATTGTTGTATTGACTGAGCTGATTTCGTTTGATGCTTCRATGTACAGCTCGAAGAATCCTTCTTGATCAAACGAGTGATTTGCTTTAGCAAGGAAGAAGATTCCTGGCTTGCCCGGCAGGTTCACGAAGTTGAAAAGTACCTCTCCACTTGTGATGTTCTTACAAGTTACGGTCACATTGGTAGCAGACGAAACATTCACAATCAACTCGACTGGTGCGGGKTTCTTCACTCCAAAATAGCTGAACCCTTGGARGTACGCACCARATATCCACGATAAGGGCTGCTGACCCCTTATTTCCCGGACAGACGTCACAGGAAGTGACATCATATTRTTTGTAACTTGCACGGTTAAGTAGTCCGACCCCACTTTGTTGATGGTATGCTGTGTTTTGAATACTGCACCTTCAGCACCAACTRCTTTCACGAGATATTCAACAGYTATTTCTGTGTAGGGGATRTCATGGGTGATGTTTTGTCCTACACTTGTAGGAGAGGGTATCGMGGTATACCTGAGAACTTTCTTGYTGTCGTTTCGATGTGCAATACGACCAGCACCATCTATTGCCCACCCTAGTATATCACCCTTTTTGGYATGGCAGACCTTATCGTCAGGAAGAACGTAGAGGTTGTAGCCAGTTTTGATTGTTATAGCTCTAATCAGACATACAATGGTGTAAT